CTCTCTCTCTCTCTCTCTCTCTCTCTCTCTCTCTCTCTCTTTCTCTCTCTCTGGGGAGAAACTACAGTACTACTGGCATTAATACTCTTTCCAACGACATGTACAAGAGTTTAAACAGAAAATATAAGCAGGAGCCAGCAAATATTAGCATACAGTCACAAATCCCTCCAGGAAAATCAGTATTGATTTAATATTTCCCAAATGCAATCCTTTGTAAAGAAAAATGTTCTGGACTACAGACATTGAACACATGTAAATCACACACACACACACACACACACCTATCTCTTTCTCACACACACACATACACCTGGTCTGACTGGGATGGCGTGAGAAGACATAAAGTGAGCGGCCGTGGCTGTAGCACGCCGCCACTGTGTCCACTTGCTTTGTTTATTTTGTCCCTCGGGAGAAAGGCAGAAAGTGAGTGGCTACAGCGGTGGTGGCAGTATTCCTGGAGGACAGGCGGAAGTACCAGGGCTGCTGCACATGTGCAGTTGTGCACCTCTGCTGCCCCTCTCAGCCCCCATCACAGTGGATGCCTCCCAAGGGCCATCTGCCCACCCACTGGCCAGGCTAGGCTGGAAGCAGCGCAAACCCAAGGAGGAGGCAGAAAGTGGGCGGCGACCGGAGCATGGAGCCACCGTGGCTGCTCTTTTTGTTCATTTCATGCCCTGGGAGAAGGCAGAAAGCGAGCAGCTATGGCGGCCACAGCATGCAGCCGCCTGGCCACTCGCTTTCTTCCTGGGAGAAGGAAGACACAGGTGGCGGAGGCCGAAGCATGCTGTGGCCGTGCCTTTCTTCCTTTTGCTCTCCGGAGAAGGAAGACGTGGGCGGCAGCAGTCCCAGGGACGAGAGGAAGAAAGCGAACATCTGCAGTGGCAGTATTCTGGGAGGGCAGGGAGGGCAGAAGTACTGGGGCTGCTGCACATGGCCATCTCTGCTGCCCCCTCAGCCCCAGCACAGCAGAGATGCCCCCCAAGGACTGCCTGCCCACCCACCCGCCAGGCCAGGCCAGAAGCGGCACGTCCCCTGGGAGAAGGAAGAAAACAAGTGCTGCTACTGCTCCGTGAGCCATGTCCCGTTGATGCTGCAAATTGTGCACAACATGGGCAGCCCAGGACATCCGCCCACCCTCCCAGTCCCGCCAAGTGAGCCCGGAGATGGGGGAAACAGCTAGCTAGGCCGCAGCCAGCGCTCCCGCCTGGGATAGGGCCACTCCAGCAACTAAGCCAGCTAAGTGAGCTTGGGAATGGTGGGGGAGCCATCAACAAGCTCAGGGGATGGTGGGGGAGGGGGAGGAAGCTCCAGAGACGGGGGAGGCTAGTGCGACTTGCAGGCTTACCTGTGAACAGGAAGATCAGAGCTGCTCAGTTGGGGCACAGGCACCATGTGGGAAGCCATGTTAAGCCACAAGGACCCAGTGTGGAGTGACTGGGTGGGGCAAGCAAGAGTCAGGTGGGTGGGGCAAATGAGTGAGTGGTGACCAGGCAACAGGTTCAGGGATGTGACCAGCCAGAAGTCACTACCGGTTCAGTGACCCATGCCAAATTATCACTACCGGTTCTCCTGAACCGGTGAGAACTGGTTGAACACCACCACTGGATTGCATGTCTCATCTTAATCTCTACCAATATAGTGACAAATTTAGAGGTGTTGCTCTGTTGCAGTGGTATTACAACAAATAATACTTTACCTCATAATCGCTCTCTAGAAATTCATGCAGAACCATTTCATAAATGAAAGGCTTCAGAATCAAATCTTGTCTTGGCAAATAGTGGCTAATTGCCTAAGGAAAGAAACAATTAAAATATGCTTAATCTTTCCAAATTGTTTAGAAAGCATTACTAGAAACAAAGCTAGAAGATGTGACAATATTCCAGTTGAGCTATTTAAAATCCTAATGTTAAAATTCTTCACTCAATATGCCAGCAAACTCTGAAAACTCAACAATGAACACAGGATTGGAAATGGTCACTTTAGGTTCCAATTCCAAAGAAAGCCAATGCCAAAAAATGTTCAAATTACCATACAACTGCATAAACTAGCAAGGTCATGCTCAAAATTCTACAACTAGACTTTAGTAATATGTGAACCAAGAACTACCAGAAGTAAAAACTGTGTTTCAAATAGGCAGAGGAACTAGAAATTAAATTTCCAACATTTGCTGGATCTTGCTTTCTTCCTGGGAGAAGGAAGATGCGGGTGGCGGAGGCTGGAGCAAGGCAGTTCAAAAAAAAAAATCTACTTCTGCTTCATTGACTACGTTAAAGTCTTGATTGTGTAGATCAGTGGTTCTTAACCTGGGTGATATTGCCCCCCAGGGGGCGATTTCATTTTTCAGGGGGGCAATGGAACGAAAAAGGGGCGATGCGGGGCGAAGGAATGGAAGGGGGGCGATATGGGGGCGATGGAGCGAGAAGTTTTGGGGACACTTTTGAGACTTTTTTCGTACAGTGAACCACTGTATATCTGTTGTACAAAAACATCAGATCGCTCACTATTAGTAGATTAAACTGTGTTTTAAAATGTTCCTCCAGCTAGCTTCAGTACAGAATGCCGTACATATGTGAATATGCATCGCTCATCTTCATGCGTGTTGCCCAGCAGCCTCTATCACTCTACCCATTAAATTTGTCGCTCTGATTTTTGTTGCTTTCCTTCTGTAAAAATATTCTTTGTGTCTTTTTCACCCTTTTTACAGTGTGCATGAATATATATTTTCCTCGAATCTTAATTTAGTTTCAGAGTTTTCGTCTTGAAATTCTTAGTTCCTGCATTGCGGTTTGTTCTTATGCTCTTTTTATATTTCTTTTTGCGTCTTAAAATTCACTTGTAATTAAATCATTAAATGTTACTGTTTTTTTTCAGGCATTTCATTTTTTTGCAATTGAATTTTGTTTTCAGTGGTCATTGCATTTAAGTGTCTTGAATAAATAAGATAATAATGAAATATATGCATCATGAAGTTTGGGAGTAAAGTGATGGGTGGCATCAGAATTTTTCACACAGTTGAGATATGGGAAAAAGACTGGAAATAAATTATTTGCATTGATATGTCCTGATGACAATTTTAAAGAAAACAAAAAACATGTTTGCATAAATTGAAGAATTATTTCTCTGTGTTGTGATTGAGAGGTTATGTTGGGGGAGGGGGCCGATGATAACTTCCTCAATGGTTCAAGGGGGCGATTCTTTTAAAAAGGTTAAAAACCACTGGTGTAGATCATAATAAAGTGTGTCAAGTTCTTAAAAAGATGGTAGTACCAGACCACCGTACCTGTCGCCTGAGAAACCTGAGGGTCAAGACGCAACAGTGAACGACCGTGGAACAAAAGATTGCTTCAAAATAGGGAAAGGAGTGTAAGAGGGCTGTATATTGTCATCCTGCTTATTTAACTTATATGCAGACTAATGTGAAATGCTGGGCTGGATAAATCACAATCCAGAATTAAGATTGTCATGAGAAATATAAACAATCTAAGATATGTTGATGATACTTCTCTAACGGCAGAAAGTGAAGAGGAACTAAAGCGCTCCTTGATGGGGAGAGGAGAGTGCAAAAGTCAGCTTGAAACTCAATATTAAAAAAACTAAGACCATGTAATCTGATCCTATCACTTCCTGGCAAATAGAAGGAAAAGAACTGAAAGCAGTTACAGAGTTTATTTTCTTGAGCTCCTAGAGTATTGAAGATAGCAACTGCAGCCATGAAATTAAAAGATGCCTGAAAAAGCAGAGATAAGTTATGGTTTTCCCAGTAGTTTTATATGATTGTGAGAGTTGGACTCAGGCTCAGTGCTGAAGAATTGATGCTTTTCAATTGTGATGTTGGAGAAGACTTAAAAATCCCTTGGACTTCAAGGAGGTCACACCAGTCAATCCTAAAGAAAATCAATCCTGACTATTCTTTGGAAGAACAATTACTGAAGCTGAAGCTCAAATCCTTTGGCCACTAAATGACAAGAGAGGACTCACTCGGAAAAAAAATGATATTGAGAATGATTGAAGACAAAAGGAGAAGGGACAGCAGAGGATGAGAAGGTTAGATGATGTCACTGATGCAACGAACATCAATTTCAATGGGCATTCTTTGGAAGACAGTAGAGGACAGGGGCCTGGTGGGCTGTATAGTCCATGGGATTACGAAGAGTTGGATACGACTTAGTGATTGAATAACAACAAAAACAATCAACACTTTGGAAAGGCAATAATTTCCCTGACAGGCTTTTTGGACAATCTACAAAGATTTTCTAAATTTAAAAGGGTTCCGGATAGCATAAAGCTTTGGTGTTAAATTTTATACCCAAGTTTAAAATAAATCTAGAAGGGATTGGTGGTGGCAGAAATAGTACATCACCCATTTATCCATACATCTTTTAGGATGAAGTGAAATAAAGGAAGGCAAGCAAACCTGAGAGGCTATCTTCTAATCTGGCAAAATGTCTGCCTGCTAACCTGCTCTCCCCCCATAAATAGTGCTGTTGTCTTGCCATCCATCTTTAATTCTGTACGAAGGCAGCTGCTATGAGAAAAACTGCAGTTTTGCAATACTTTCGCACTCTTGAACAAAATTTAACAGCTCAAAAGGACTACCTACTGTGAGATCTTAATAATATGCTCCTTTTGGTTCATTGAGTTTGAGTAGGAAGACATAAAATTCGTAGAGAGAATATGGATATGCAATCAATACACATGTTCATAAGTGCTTTCTACTGTCTGAGAAGTAACAGCCTTTTAGCAATTTGCCATGGTCAATCTATTAACTTTGATGCTTGCTAACAAATATGTCCCTTAAAATTTCCTGCTCTGCTCTGCCAGTAATTGAATCTCATGAGTTCTTTTTAATCTTGCAGTACACAACAGGCCCAAAATCTGTCATGTTGAAACATAATTAATTTCTGAATATATTATTAATGAATCCATCTACAAGCTCTTGAATCATGAAACCATAAGTGTCTATGATGCTTTTAAAAACTTCTAAAATCTAAAGACTCTTGAAAGGTTACAACTCTCTGAAGTATGAAAGAGAATTGACAAACTCAGATGGACATAATTCAGCTTCCATATCTGATATATAAAAAAATGTACAAGCAACCAAAACACTATATTTTGTTAAGTTTCATGTTTCAAAAATGATTAATAGCATGTTTCAACTTTTTATTAGGCCATGAATATCGACTTATTTCAGTTTTAGATTCTAGGATGTAATGCTATTTCTTGAAATTCAATTAATAAGCTTACCCTATTGTGCATTAAAGAAATATAGAATCCACACAGACCCAACTCACATGGAGAAAATAACAGATGAAACAAATAGATAAAGACAGACCCAATGGAGCAAATTTTGAATATGCCTACTTTTGGGGAAAGTAATAAAGACATAATGACTATATGATTTATTAACTTCTACATGTGTCAAGTAAGCAGTGTTCAGTCATACAAACCTTAAGTTGCCCAATTTCTTTAAATCTATATACTTCACATTCCCATAAATTTGTGTTTTTGCCAAGTATCTTCTGGCATTTTCTGAAGAGAAAATATATAATAAGCAAAGTGTTCATAAATCATATTTTCAATGTTAAAGAATGTTTCTTGCACACGTCAATATTTGTAAAGTAACAGCAGTAATTTGAAATTAATTATGAATTACTTTTTAATCTGACTAAGGGCAATCAAAAACATAAAATTCAGCAACCATGATCATATATATATATATTTATATATATTTATATATATTTATATTTATATTTATATTTATATTTATATTTATATTTATATTTGTATGTGCACAAAAATAAGCTAAAAACATTACCTTGAGGCCAAATCATAATCTCCAATTTCTAATAGATGGTTTATGTATGCTAAACCTATATCCTAAGATAAAACAAAATCGGTCAAAATTAGTTAAAAGTCAAAGGTAGCACTCAGTAATGAACTTTGTTTTCAAGTACTGTAACCTGTTTGTTAAATATAATGATTTGGTTTATCCCTGATAGTATACAAATTTACATATTAACAAAAACACTTGTCAAAAAGTACTGTTAAAATAAATTTTGAAAAAAATGGGCTCAGTCTGAATGTTATGTTGTCTGATCAAAACTAATGATCAAAACAAATGGTCATGGAAAAAGACCATATTCTTCATCTATTCATTGGATGTAATTGTGCTCCCTTCAATGCTCTTAATCTGTTAGTCACATATAATATTGAAGATAATAAAGACATGAAAAAAGAAACACAGGATCAAATTGTTTGATCAGTTTCAAGATATGCATCTTCTTATCCAGACCTAAACTCAATAGATTTTAAAGACAGAATATACTTTTATTATATACATGACTACCTCATATTTTCAGATATGGGACAAATTAAAACAATGAGTCATGTTAAAGTATCATTTCTCTACCATATGTGGAGATGATAATGAAGTGTGAGGTATCCAAATGATACCAAAAATAGTGATTTTAATTCAAGCATAAATATGCATATTATTCTTTTATACATGACTTAGAGAAAAATCAGTATTGGGAAGTGAAAGACTCCAAACTCCCTATACCCAGCTTATTATCTTCCCTTTTCAGCCCTGAGACAGAACTTCTATCTTGGCAAGATGATTCTAAGAAGAAAAAGTATTACAGAGAAGCAAGGCATTATTACAAAGGATTAAATGTGCCATCATTCCTGCATACATAAAATGCATTCTTTTCATGCTTCCACGAGATCTGTCTTCTTCTTTGATATGTCCAAAGTATTTTGCTTCAACCACTTCAGGCTATAATAAACTACTATCATTCTTTCTATAAGTAAATATTGTTTTACTGGTTTCAATTGACAACTTTATAACAAGCTTTGAGAAATGTTTTTGTTCCAGGAACACTGCCTCCCAGTAGGGGTAAGGCTGAATCTGTTGGGAATGAGATGGGCAGTAAAAATTCTACATTTTTGTTGGAGGTATCTCTACTCCTGTGCATGCTTCAATAAAAAGCTCTGTGAGGACTATTTGCATGTTCAAATGAAAATACAAATTAAGCACACAAAAAAACCCTGCATTTTCTTGGGAGTATATTATGGATTAATATTACTATGGCTTCAAGAATGGTTAGAGCATTAAAATAGCTTTCCTATTTTGGTCATATTGAATCAGATGAAATAATACTGATTATTGCAGCTGGTATGAGAAAGGTATGAGCACCATTTATCATTTGTGTAAGCTCTTAATCCTACCTTTGAAGAATACAAAGATTTTTTCACTCTTATTGTTCCATGATCTCAGAATACAAGGTTTTTGTTATGCTATATGTTATGTTATATTTGTAACAATAAGCATGATTAACATTCAATAAGATTGTGATCCGAGGATACTTGAAAATTCGATAGTTCAACATCTTTATATCTAGGATACAACTGTGCTCACTGGTACCCTGACAACTATGTATGCCCTTTTCTCTTCAAATCTTTGATAATATTATTCTAGATCTCTAATTATCTGGATACAAATTTAGGTTGAAAGGAGAGGATGAAAACAAGTATTAATCAATAGCCATTATTCCCTTCCTAGGGAAGGTGCCAGAGCAGAAGATGGCCAATCGACTCCAGGATGTACGTATGAAATTTATTTTCTAAATTCATTTTAATCTGCCTTCAGGCCTGGCTGTGGAACAGAAAATGTTTTGTTCTGTTTTGCTCTGTAGGATAATCTACAACAGGAAAAAGACAGGGGAAGTGTAAGTGTCTTAGTCCTCCTCCTGACTCCTCTCAGTGATTTTCCATGGTATTCTGCTGGAAAGGACAGAGTATCAGAATTGTGATAAGGAGGCACTATACTATGGGGTTCCACTCTTATTTGGATGTTTGGATTACAGAATGTGGTGCTGTGTTGTCGCAAAGTTCCAATTTATCCCCTATGGCCTTTAACATCTACATGAGAGTCACAACTGTGATCTTATCCAGTAAGTTATTCATGCTCTGGTGACTTTTTAGATAGACTGCTGCAGAGCACTGTATGTGAGTTTGTCATTGAAAATGGTCCCCAATATCAGTTACTTCAGAATAGAGCAGCTAGACTGCTTATTGGGATTGGCAGATCTGGACATTTTATTCTAGTTCTTCACCACTTCCAGACCCAATTCAAACAACTGATTTTGATTGAAAGCGCTAAATGTCTTACTGTAGAATCAGGCAACCCAAAGGAGTCCTTTATCCCATATGTACCTACTTGCAGCTACAACTATTTCCAAACCAATATATTTTATTGTAATTTATTTAGATTATTATAAGCTGCCCACAATCATTTTTAGTCAGGTGGAATATAGGTTTAATGAGTTGTTGCTGCTGCTGTAATTATAACTGATCTCACAGTTAGTCAAATGTTTAAATTGGATTTGGCATTTTTGTCCACCTATTGAGAATAAAGGACATTTTTGGGTGGATATAAGCTGTTCCAGTTAAGGCTGCCTTTTGCAATTGTCGGATCATGACTTTGTCAAGATAATCCTGCTCAAGTGGTGCTTCAGCTGTATTGGCATTGCACCCATGGTACCTATTACTATTGGTATGATTTTTGCTTTTTTTGCCATAGATATTTTAATTTTATTGGCAGGTCTTTGTATTTTGTGATTTTCTCTAGTTTTTTTTCTTTTAGTCTGCTGTCTATAACAGCAAATGAAAATTAAAAAGTAGAGCTGGATAATCATTAAAAAAGAGAGAATACTGTAGTTATATAGCTTTCTGTAATCAGTTTGTAAAACAAGCATTCCATGGCTTAATATTTCCTTGAAGGAATAACCTCTTTAATGTGATTACATCTAATTTCACAGGCACAGCTAATAGAGAGTATTTAGTGGTGAGAGATATGCATTGTGCGTGTTTAGAAATAATGTCTTCTGTGACTTTATGCAATTAGAGACTGAAACATATTTGTCACAGCTAAGAATAAACAAACACTAGTTAAAATACAACACTGGGAATCTTCATATTAGCATTATTAGTTAAGTAGATTGCATACATTAGATAAATCACATAATGCTCCTTGGCTGATGATTATTATTATTCTTGATTGGGCCAAAACAGATGGGATGTTAAAGCAATTCCCTGCTATTGACATAATACTTATGTGCTTGGCTTTTTTAATATGTCATAACATTTAATTCTTTTAACCATATCTTGATGGTTAAGTATGCATTTTCCCATGCCCATTTCAGATCACTAGCTGCCATTGACAAAAAGAAGGGAAACTCAAAATACTAACACCATGTCACAAGTTTGGAAATATTCAATGTTTAAGAGAAAGTTGGGAAATTAGAAATTTGAAGATATATGTTTAATCTAGCAATGCTGATAGACACTGTTTATTTACACAGTATATATCTGACATATCTGAAGCAGTTAAATTTCAAAAGTCAAGTTTGTAGACTTACCTGAATCTTGTGCTTTTTAATAGTCTTCTGACTGATTTCAGCTGCCATCAAAGCTTCCTATATAATAAAGTAAAAAAATGACATCTACTGAACATTTCAATAGAAAAAACATAGATCTTCTTTTGTTTCTTGTATCTTCTGCATGAATGTACTAGAATGTTTAATGTCATGGTAAAACAAACAGAATCAAATTTATAATCAGCAAAAGCAATGGTTATTCTCCCCAAACCTCCTCTGGGTTCACTCCATGTTAATATCACAAGACCAAATCTCAGAAGATTGGCACTATATGTAGTACAATCAAAAGAAATATTTTTGTAAACTAACATCTGCATTAGAAAGATACCTTAATCTTGACTTGTTTTCCTAATGTTTCACTAACATTGAATAAATGTATTCTTCATTAGTTGGAAAATTATTTTTCATCAAGTTTAATTTGTAGCTCATTTACTACATAACTCCATAAGTCCATGATGTCAAAATGAAACTGATTTATTGCAACTTAAAATGAGAAGTGAAAGCTTAATAGGGATTATAAGAAAAATTATTAAAGTATATTAATACTAGAACAGATTATGTGAAATATACAAATATCCACAGCTTTAAGAAAAACCCAGTTTCTATGAAAGACATTTGTCACAAATTACTAGGATGTATCTTAAAATTTCAGATAACATTAAATAACATAATAAATTTGGATGCTTCATCTCTTTGCACCATGTCATACCTTTGATAATTGAAATACCCAAGAAATTATTTAAATAATATAAATGACTAAAGCTTGAAATTAAAAGCTATGCTGTATATTCAGTCAGCTAAACTAACTAGTATTCGTAATGAAGTAAGTAAATGTAGCAAATTAACTACACTTTATACTTATTTGTTTCATATTTTATTTTGATTATCACTTTTATGTGCTGTCTCAGATTCAAAATACTGCATCTGCAGTCTTTTTCTCTCTCTCTCTATACAATAGAACCTTCAACTGGCTCCTTCTTAGAGCCGAGTGCTGACATAAAAAAATAATTCTGGCCTTTCAGACACTACAATGCAATGTTCCTCCCTATCTTCACTATGCTCCTCTGATTAGAAATTTATAGGATTCTGACCTGACTTATATCATAGACTTCCCTGACTTTTATATTATGCATTGTTTAATTTTAGTAGATTTAATTAGCTATGCAGTGTTATTGTATGGTCTAGCTTATCATCTCTTTTTATTATAAACACTTGCTTGGTATATTTTAATTAACTGATGTCCCTTTATTTTTGTGCTTATATTTGTGCACAATATAAAATACTAATTGTGAAGTTAATTCTAATAGTATTCATGACTGCTATTGGCAAGTCCAGTCAGATATTTTTAGAGGCAAATGCAACCAAAACAAAGACTCTATTGTTTAGATAAAAAAACATGTGTCTGATAGAGTAATGCAGTGGGGATTTGGCTAAATCTTATCTCCCTAGACAAACTGGGCACTTCTGGATTGATTTTGGTAAGTGTGGTAATAGGTAAAATCATTCAAGTACTGAGCACATGAAATGGTAAAAGATTATTTTTGGGAACAGTACAAAAGTAATTTGAAAAATCAACACACAGATTTATTTGAAATAAGTATTTTTCAACATATAATTTCTATATGCTCTAATACATTTCATCTTATTTTGATGAAAAACAAAATATTAATGGATGTTAACATTTTAATAACTTACTATAGCACAGCATGTGACAGATTATATTCTGTAAATAAAGTTTTAATATCCTTCGAACTATGTACCATTATAATAAAAAGAACCAAAGTTGTATATGGATTACCAATTTATTTCATGCTAGATAAGGAGTGGACAAAGCTTCAGTTGTCTTTGATTTCCAAAATCACAACATATTGAAACAAGTTATTCTTTGGATCAATACAAGGTAATCTGGCTCTTTAAAATAAGAATTAGTTCCTGAAGCAGTGAGAAGCCTAATATTTATTATTTTAGCCCATTCTTTTGAAAACTAAAAAAATTACAACTATTTCTGGTCCACTGAAAAAGGAGGAAGCACATATATAGGATTATGTCTGATTCAGTTCAAGTCAAATCAGATTATCAAACTGAATATAAACTTTTTACTATTTTCAAGTATGAATCTTTATTATCTGGCATCACAGCTGACTTTCAGATATTAGAATCAAAAGCTTGGGTTTGAATAAATGAGTCAAAAGTCATATTCATCTACTTAAAAAAAAATAAGTAAGTTTACACATGGAAATGCAAATATTTAAGTAACTATGGTCCTTTTACTGTCTAACTGACATATTTAAGTAACTATTTATCAGAATGTTACGTATGAATAACATTGGATGCTACATTCATACATATAACTCAGGGATAATGGCAGATGCATGGTTCGTGGATTGTTATTATGAAAATAAAGCTATGGTGTGTGTGTGTGTGTGTGTGTGTGTTTGCCTTTGAGTCATTGCTGACTCTTGAAGATTGCTTGGAGTATCCTTGAAATTTTATTTAGCAATATTTCAGATATGGCTTGTTACTGCTTCTTCCTAGGACTGAGAGAAAACTGGCCCAAAGTCTCCCATCTGCTTTTATACCAAAGATGAAATTAGAACTTACAGACTCTTTGATTTCTAGCCCAGCACCTTAATTAGTATAGCAAAATGGCTACCTCTCATTATCTCAAGTTATCTAAATAAATAAATGTAACTAGAGAGAATATAATTTGGTCTAAAACCACGGCACCTATTAAAATTCCTAAACATAACAATTACTTTTGTTGTAACAATTAGAAAATAGAGAACTGTTTTTCTCATGGCATCATTAAGAAGAAAAGATGGAAAAGGTTTAATAATTACTTCATATTTCTTTTTCTCCAAGAGCCATTCAATGTGATCATCTTGATCTCGTTCTTTGGCCACTACCACATCGCTTGGGCTGACAATATAAAAAAGTGATTCACCTTCAGAATATTCTGTAAAAGATAGACAACTGAATCAATTTCCCTTCAAATTTCTAGCATTACAATACAGTCGTGGAATATTCACATGTGCAACCAACTATACAGGATGCTTTGTATTAAACTCAGCACTACTCATATTGCCACTCTCTACAGCAGCCTCCCTCATTCACAAATTAATACCTCAAAGGGGGAGTGATCACATGCAAATACTAGATTTTATTATCTTACTTAAGAAATTATGATTAAGAATCTGGGACCAACAATGAGATCAATTTCAGAACAAAATCCTCTCTTTAAAGTGTTACAAATTATCAATAACAGCAATTCTCATATACAAACTGAAAGGACAGGTTACTCATCAGTGAACATTCTTCAGTTAGTCCTCTCTGTTTATATTCACATGTGTAGATTCTGCACATGTGCAGATTTTCATCATTGAAAACCTTTTAGAAAGATTTCTGGCAGGAAATCCTGAAAGTATCACAAGGAGTATCACAATGAATGTTATAAAAATTCAGAATCTTCTTTGGAAAAAAAAGAATGCTTTCAAAATTTCCAGATGTGATAAATGGAAGAGAACTGAGTAGAAACATGGGATCCATATTGCATATGTACACTTTGAAGCAGGTTTTGCCAAAACTCCTTAGTTCTCAGTGAATCTCAAGGAGGCTTCAGGCAGGCACTTCACTCATACATGCGATAAGTAGCAATTACAAAGAAAACGTATTATATGATAAAGTATACACTAAAATATATGATAAATATATGATATGATACATATTGTAACATTTGATTTAAGATAATATAGATCGGAGAATATCATTTTTATCTTTTTGTGATAAATAGGTCAATTTTACTTTAGAATATAGGCGTTAATGTAGACCAAGGGTTCAAACTGGATTTCTTTGGGGACCAGATCAGCATTGTAGTTATCCTCCACGGGCCAGCCTGGGGTGGGTTGGGAGACTGGACAAACGCCTCCTGCAGCACCCTGCTGTCCAAAATGGGATGCAGGGGCCATGTGGAGGCCAGGAGGCCATCCCAAGCAAAAAATGGGCCATGGGGGGGGTGGGCATGTGTGGCCCCGTGTCCTATTTTCGCTAGCAGAAGCACCACAGGCTGGTCCTTTGCTATTTCCAGGCCAAGCCTGCGGGCCAGATTTAAACACCCCTTGGGCCTTGAGTTTGACACCCTTGATGTAGATTTTAGAATGTAGGCTTTGCTATAAAACTTAGCAAACAGATTGAGAAGAAATTGTTACCTAAACAATAATCTCGACATTCATTTTCTTGAAAGCATCTTACTGTGAGTGCATCGGAAGATATTTCTTCACAAGATTCAGGAAATGGTTGAATTATATCAAGTCTTGGTCGGGCACAACATTCTTTTTCCTGCAGAAAGAAAATAATACTCAGCCTTCAAAATGCTCATCCTATATTAGTGATCTATCTATAAGAATTTATTAATCCCAACTGCAATTGTCTTAAACAGTGTGAATTCTTTATTGTCATTGTACGTATATACACAATATACATACAACAAAATTCACAGTTTCAACCAAACAGTCCATATAAACAAATGTAGTATTTACTTTGTCAGGTTTCTTTCATGTATAAAACAGATGTTTCCATTAATACCTTAAAATTTATTTTCTGACTGGAGAAAGCACAATATACAGAAATAATGGGAATCCTCAGGATTTATGAAAGTTAGAAAAGGAGCATTGGAACTGAAACTTTAAATAATCTTTTATTTATACAATACAGACTCTGAGTGAAAAAGTATGATCTAACAACTTAAAGTAAGCAACTATTGTTTTTATAGTAATGATTTGGACAACCTTTATTGTTGATAATTTTGTAGTTTTATAACCTGATATTTAATATAAAAGGACATTCATAGAATAGCTGAAAATTCATCTCAAACCATTAAAATCTAACTAAATCTAAATCCTTCAGCTAATGAAGAAACGCCCACCCACATCCCCCACATAAATATTTGTTGCCATTTACAACACTGAATGATAATATTGTTGCTTATTGCATACAGCCGGCATGGTTTGGAAATCATTGCCTAAGACTTACCATAATGTATGAGTTTACAGTCAGCTGTGATTTATTTAGCAAACTATGGTTAATAAAATTGTGACTTAACATAATTATTTGAGTCTAGCCACAGTGTGAGAGAGAACTGTTTTATTCCCCAATAGGATTTCTTAACTGTAAACAGCCTTCAGCTGAGTTATAAATGGTTCCTGGGTGTTTTGCTTGAACATTTTACAACATATGTAAAACATCACAAGAATTCAATACATTTTCATATAAAGAACTAATCCTTTGATTTTAATGTCAGCACTAGAAAAAAATAGGCAAAGAATAAGTGAAGAAAAATCTGATTTAAAAAATGGCAATATTGAAACCACTGGCCAAACATTTCAGCTCTGGTAATTACTGCCCTCAGGATGGACACCCTTGAGAAAATCTATCAAATAGCTAAGTTAGGTTTTATCAGGGGTTTTAAGACTATTTCTCAAAGATAATATAAAGACTGTCTTTTCTATTAAAAGTGTTAATCATTTGAACAAGAATGCACCTATCAAATCCATAAGTGTTTCTTAATGGCAACTATACATTCAATTTTCTCAAGTTTTGAATCTTTAATTGTTTCCCTTTTTACCCAACTTCCATTGTCACTGCACAATAGTTATTCATATATAATAGTCCTTTCCCAGGACAATATTCTCTGAATCTGATAAGGTGGATTTAGGTGTTAATAAAGTGCTGCAATGCTAAAATTTAAGTTCCCCCAAATTCTACTGTTTTCATTGTGGCAAAATATCAAGACTATTCCTCCAGTGTATTCTTTAATAAAAAAAATGTCCATGTAAAAAAAATAAACAGTATCAAATGCTTTCCAATGGAGCTTCACAACCTGACTATTAAATACACTTTATAGACTCTAGGTTTTTTCCAATATGGAACTTTAACAATGAGAAATGTAGTCTAATTATTAAAAAAGGTATGTTGCATAGCTATTTCACTTGATGCTAGCAAACTTTATATAATATGCCACATAGGGAACATCAACTTGGCAAAAGGTTTGCAGGCCAAACTTTATACAGGATAAATATAATGCACCACAAGTGTACTATATTTCATCCCAACTTTCACTTATTGGATTCAACTTCACTTTGTAGCTTGATTTTTTTTTTCTAAGACTCAGTCACAGAAAAGGCCTACACTATGAATTTTCCTGGGAAAAACTGCAGCAGTGACTTTGAACCTTCCTTTAAAATAATAAAAAATATCTGCCCATTCTGCATGAGGGTTAGAAGCAGACACTACTTATTTCAATAGATGAGTGTTACTTTGAGTCAATATTGCTTCATTGCTTAGCAACAACATGTACCTACCGTATATGCCGGCGTATAAGACGATCCGGCGTATAAGACGACCCCCCAACATTTCCACTCAAAATATAGTTTGTTATATACTCGCCCCCTCTTCCGCACGCCTTCCACTTTTGCACTTTTTTTTTTTGGAGGCACTTTTGCGCACCGTGGAAACGAATCCCGTGAAGCCGAAAGGAGCAGCCAGCCTTCTCCCAGCTCCCAAGGAAACGAGGCTCGCACCGCCCAAGCTCCGCTGAGGTATCCGGCTGGGGCTGTCAGGAGTTGTTACCGCTGGCGCGGCTCCGCGCGGCTCCAGTCCCGCATTGCCTCGGGAAGGGAAAGGCAAAACCAGGAGCCGCTGCTGCCATTGCAAAGCGCCGCCGCGGCTCTTCCTTTTTGCCTTTCCCTTCCCGAGGCAACGCGGGACTGTAGCCGCGCGGAGCCGCGCCAGTGGTAACAACTCCTGACAGCCCCAGCCGGATACCTCAGCGGAGCCCGGGCGGTGCGAGCCTCGTTTCCTTGGGAGCTGGGAGAAGGCTGGCTGCTCCTTTCGGCTTCACGGGATTCGTTTCCACGGTGCGCAAAAGTGCCTCAGCCGCGGGCAGCCGCAGTGCTTCCCAATTACGATTTGCCGGCGTATAAGACGACCCGGCATATAAGACGACCCCCCCAATTGGAGGCATGTTTTTCAGGGCAAAAAAGTCGTCTTATACGCCGGCAAATATGGTAGTTGTTCAATGTTACTATAGCAATAACTAATGTCAGTTCGCTATAATGGAGATGAAAAGAATAATCTAAATTTCACAGATTTGTTTCTTCTATACTTCTGTTTCATTTTGTAATGAAAACAATTATCACGATGACTTTGTAGAGTCTCCTGAGAAATGCTAATGATTCAGTATTTTCTCTGTATATCTAGACATTTTCAACTGAAGTAGACATTGTCAAATTGAGACAACTTTATCAAATAGTTCTTGTTTCCATGTGCCTACAATCATTGAGAATAATTATTTTGGCAGACTTTATTTAGAAGAAAGTGCAAAATTAGCAGTCATTTTTATTAAACTTTAATTCCTGTTCAACAGTCTGCATCACTGTGTACCTATTGGACTTTGCACCACTAGAACCTTAGGGTCTCCAGACCTTTTCCCTCATCCTCTTCTTACTGTCACTGAGTATTCACTCCACTTTCTTCAAATGTTTAAGCAGTGATGTGAATGAGATCCTTTTCTCACTTGTTTTCCACATCTCCTCTGCCTCCCCAAAATCTGCTAGGGGTATTGGAAAGGGATGAAGATGTTGTGATTACTCATACCATTTACCCTTTGTTACAGGTTAATAAAACCACTTATTTGATTTCAGTTTGCTATGATTTGGAAAGTTTATGATGCTAAATTGTGTCCTGAGGGTAGTTAATATTAAAATAGACCTGTTGTAATTATTTCAACAGATGAAACGGATGTCTTCAATACTATTTTGCTGGTCAATTTAGATTATTCTAAATTTTCAAAGCTTGCTCCTTGGAAGACTTTTTTAAATTATTGTTTTTTTTCTTTTTTAATACAAAATTAAAACAAATTGGTACTAATAATACCTTGCCTCTTTTTATTAAACAAATACATTTAAATATTTATTTAAATATATCTCTCTTTCCTTTATTCTCTGATTTGGCATCAGGAATCTTCAGTAAAGATAGTCTTTGATTTACAATCATATTGGAACCAGAATTTCTGTTGCTAAGCAAGATGGTGGTTAGGTGAGTCATACCTGATTTTATGATTTTTTCCCCACAATTGTTAATCACTACAGTTGTTAAGCGAATCATGCAATTGTTAAGCAAATCCAGCTTCTCCCATTGACTTTGCTTGTCAGAAGCTGGCTAGGAAGGTTGCAAATGGTAATCACTGTATGCTTTTTTGGCTCAGCATATCAAGCACCTTTTTTAACTTGGAAGATACTAAAATACAAAGTCTTCGACAACATGAATTTTCTATTGCTGTCTTATAAAAGAAGGAGATTGGTCAGTTAATAGCATGCCAAAAGCAGCTAGATGATAATAATCCTGCTATTTAACATTTTTGAGAAATCCACATATGAATATAGAAAGCAAACAGTTCTGTTTAAGAACCAGTATGGAGTACATATCTTAAACCAAGCACCTATGTAACTATCAAGGCAATTCATTAGATTAATCAATGTAGTCACTAAAGGTTGAGTTCCACTCAACAGAGACTTTAATTATTTGCATATAAAAATGTCACTTACCATTTTCTCTGAAATCTCCTTTACAAATGAAAGAATGACAAGCTGGTCACAGAGAGGTGCTATCCCACTGATATAAAATTCAGTGTTGAACTGAGACACTGAGCAGCAGATAAATAAAGAAACAGCTAGTTTACTATTAATTCATATTATTGGTTATGTTTTCATGATGAAATAATATCACAGACATTTCAATATGCAAATGAAGTTAATATCATTATAATAATTTCCTGAGAGACAGATCAGCATGCATTTAATTTTCCTTTAAAATTAATCTCTAAAATTTGACAAGTTGTTTGGCATACAATTGGTATTCTATACCAAAGTTGATTACCATAAAATTGATTGTTAGGGTAATCAACTTTAATTTTTGTAGAAGAAAATTATATGCTCAAGACTGATAAAACCAACCTTCAGTTACCCACAAGGTAGTAATCTAAGATAGTGTGCAATGTGAACACATATTTTGGAAATTTAACAGTTCAAAATAGATCATTATTTTAAGGTTACCAAGAATATTATGGATGTTGTAATTACTGCAGCTTTTCACAAATGGTGGTATTTCCACCATCTGTGGAGAGCTGCAGTAATTACAACATCCAAGCTCCATTGAAAAGAAAAAAGAAGGAACATGGGCTTTACTGAATTTCACAAGAACTTTCTGAATGTCTGGATTATAGATCAAAAGGTTATCCTGTCATAACACTATTATGAATATAAAACTTCACTACATAAGACTTGGATAATGGTACAGAATAAGCTCTAGTTGATATGTGGCCATCACACATGTATTGGTTTTAAGATTTTGGGAGTTTTTTGTAATGTTGAAGCTCTGTAACATTTGTAACAATCTGTTTTTTCTATTATTGGACTTCTTTGCTTTAGCTCCCAGCTTCTAGTGTCAAAAGCAATGTATCTACCCTGGTGTATTTCAGCATCCTACTCATTGATATGTCTCTCTCACTTTCTGCTGTTCTAGACACTAAGCAACAGGCAGCCATGGTTACAATTACTTGGGGGAGGGGGGAGCATGCTGGCAAATTTTGGACATTCTACCCCTTCATTGATAAGTATGAAGAGGCTATTATAGGCAATAGACCAGGGGTTCCCAACCTGGGGTGCTCGGAGATGATATTCCAGGGGGTGCGAGAAAAGTCCAGGTAAATAATAGGATATTGGCTATATGTTGGCATTTTTATTTATTATTTATTTCAGGGGGTGCAAGGTTCGAGTGAAATTTCTTTAGGGGTGCGGGGCGAAAAAAAGGTTGGGAACCACTGCAATAGACGAAAGGTGGCTTGAAAAATTTACAGTATCCTTTCATGGAGGTGTCCTGAGAATTCACCTTTCCATTTTGTATGGAATGGGAATAATGAGATTACAATAACTCCATAATTTGTCTTGGCTCCAGAGTTGGAGTGCTGACTGAATAACATTCTTTACACTCTCCCATTAGTCAACAAGGAAGGAAACAAGATAAGGCTTTCTGTCTGTTGAGATTACCAGAAATGCATATGATGACAGATTGGCTTTGAAGTCTTTTAGTGGGAGTGGGAGTACAAATAGTGGTGGTTAGTTACTTTTAACTAACAAAATAGTCAAATTCAGATTATAATATTACTATACAATATTTCCAACTGAGATTTAATTTTAATCACAAGAACATATATAATCCACTCAGAAAGAATGCATATCTTCTCAAGTTACATTTCTGCTACAACTTTTTTATTGCAAATTAAAAAGAAAGAAATCAAATGAACAGGAAAAGAAAACGCAAAATGAGACCCAAAAAGAGAATATCGCTGGATTTTCCCTACATAAAAGAATACCTATCACAATATTTTCAGTATTGCAACTGGTCAGAATTGATTTTTATATAATTGTAGACATAAATTCAACATAATCTTCTAATACAAAATAAATATACTGTGTATGAAAACTTGTAGTAACTTTAGAACTGGAAAGCAAGGAAATGCTATTTTTAATGCTATGCTCAAGAGATAATAAAACCTAAAAGTATTCAGAGTTTATATCTCTGCACAAACAGTAAATCGGTGTAAAATACATTTATATGATGTCAAACTTGAACTGCATGATAAATACAATTCAAGTACAATGGTTAACTTTAAGTGGGAGTTATTAGTTATTGGGTTAGACTCAGATGCTCAGGAAACAATTGGTTGAATTTAAGGAATCAGTCTGCCTGTCTTGTAGAAATCCTTTTGCCCTGCAAAGACCTGATACTCAGGTATTTGAAAGAAACCATATATTCAGATACAGGGAATAATAAGTCCTCCTCTCCCAACATATTCAAGTTCAAATACAGCCTAGTTTCCTAGATGATATAAAATAACTATACTATTTGAACCTATAAAGATATAAATTGAAATCGGCACTTTTTCCAATTTAATAAGCAGGAATAGTTGGGAAGAGATAACTTCAGCATTATGTAGTGGTTGATGGATTGGATTAAAATTATTAAATCCTATGTACAACATCACGTTTCAATGATGGAAGCTCACTGGGTGAGATTGAATAGTCATACTCTGAACTATTTTGCAGCTTGGCTCTTGTGGGGAAAAATCAGAGTATTATTTATGGGATCCTAAGATCCTGATGAAAAGACAGGATTTAACAGCTATCAAATATATCATTCAAATAAATTTTTGAGTGATTATAAGGCATCTTACAAAATATAATACTTGTATTTAGAATATTTCCTTCACAAGCTAAAATTTTTTAAAGGAAAACAATCATAGATTACTAGAAGGTTGATGGACTCATAAAATTGAAGCATAGAGGAGTATATTTATTATACATTTGAAAATATTATGAACTATCTTTCTGTCCTGTATAAAATAGTTCTCATTCTGGAACAATCCACTCATATGACCTGTAGAGCTACTCCAAGGTGAGCCATTTACTAAATTTTTGCCTACACGCCATCTATATAGAATAAACAGGTCTACAAAATAAACTATTCTATTTAGGAAACTACTTCTAGAAATTATATTCTAATGCACAAGAGTTAACAGGCTGAAATCAGTTTGCCCATGTGATACTACTATATTCAAGCTGCAATCATTTCTAAGTGGACTAGAAATACAATTCAAGCTGCTGGCCATTACCATAACCATTTTATGTCTATTATCTAAGTATTTGAGGGACTGCTTTCCCAGGTGGAATCTGTCCATCTGATAAAAACAAACAGGGAAGTAGAGGAGAGACCCTCGTCCAGACCCTCTTGCAGAAAATCCAGTATTGAACCGAGGTGAGTTCAATGTGGTGTCTCAAACACCAACCGCAGAAAATCTTCTACATTGCATCATAAATCCTAGTAGTGGAAGGCCGCCTGGTCACCTGGATTGTCTGTATGACTTTATTGGAAACTTCTCCTGTCTCAGAAGTCCCCGCTCAAGTGCCAGATGGTCAACTGGAGCCACTGGGACTCCGGATGGTTGATGGGACCCTGGCTGAGGAAGACTCTGTCCAGGGGAATCCTCCAAGGTCTGGAAATCGACAGGCTGACCAGATTGCTGAACCACGATCGTCTGGGCCAGTGGGGAACTAACAACAAGACCTCTGCCCTCTTCGACAACACCTTCCTGATTACCCTTGGAATTAGGGGAAGAGGGAGAAAGGCATACAACACGCCCTGGGGCCACGGGCAGCCTAGTGCACTGAGCCCTTCTGCCCCTGGTGCTGGAAAGTTCACAAAGAATATTGGAAGTTGAGTGTTCAACAGAGAGGCAAAGAGATTCAAGATCGGATGGCCGAACCACTCTGAAAACTCCTTGAAAAGACTGGGATGCAGATGCCACTCTGACTGGTCAACTGTGGCCTTGCTGAGCCAGTCTGCCTGCACATCCGAGACTCCTGAGATGTGCTCAGCCCATATCAATAGGAGGTGTCTCTCTGCCCAAAGGCACAGTTGGGTCGCTTCCTGCATGAGGGACCTGTAACGAGTGCCCCCCTACTGCTTTATGTGGACCTTGGTGGCCACATTGTCTGTGAGAAGGACATGCTGTGCCGAAACCTCCTGCTGGAAACTCCTGAGGGCCAAATGGGCCGCCCTGAGTTCGAGCCACTTTATATTGTGACATAGCTCTTCTTGCGACCACCGCCCCTGGGTTACTTGTGATCCAAGGTGGGCCCCCAGACGAACAGGCTGGCGTTGGCTGTGATGGTCAGCCTTTGTGGTTCCTTTTTTTTCTTCTTTCCCTTTACCTTTTAAACAAAAAAATCTTCTCTACTTTTTCACCCGTTCTTCTTTTTACATTTTTTTCTCCCCTTTTCTTTTTGCATATTACTGGAACCAATTGGATTAAGGTATACAAGTGCCTCAAGATTTTTTCCCCTCCTCTTTTTATTTTTTACTTTATATTTTCTATTGGAGTGGCAGTTGCTTGCTCTTGTTTTCTTTTTTCCTTTCTTTTTTCCTTTTTTTATTGCTAAGTATTACAAGATGAGTAGAAAGACAACAGCTCCAGCTTCTTCAATACCAATAGCTTTCTCTTCACCATCTGGAGGACAACGATCAATACAGATGATGTTACAACAGGAGAAAGAGAAGGAAGTGACATTGCAGATGATTATGCAAGGAATCCAAAAGATTGAAAAGAGAACAGAGAATATTGAGCAAAGAACTGAAAAGACAGATGAGAAAGTAGAGAATATCCAACATATGATGATGAAATATGAAGATAGATTAAAGAAAATTGAAGAACAAGATATACAAAGACATAAGAAAATTGAAGATATTAATACTCGATTGAGCAAAGTTGAAAAGGGCAGGAGTGGACTATAGGGATGGGAAATTGATAGATCAGAATTCTATCTGAGTGAGATTCCAAAATATAGAAGAAAAAAAGGGTGAAAACCTTGCTGAAATAATGATAGGAATACTGGCAGAAGCGTTAGAGATAACTAAAGAGAAGATGATGGATGGGATGGATGAAGTGTTCCATATCTATACAAGATATGCAATGAGAAACAAGTTACCAAGAGAAATTCACATCAGATTTACCAAGAAAACTATTAAAACACAGATATTGCAGGTGGCAAGAGACAAAATGTTAAAGTACAAAGATAAAGAAATTGT